TGCCCCCGCGTTCGTTGTCGCCGCCGCCGTCGGTGCCGCCGGCGCCGCCCACCGGCACGTGCGGCTCCCCGTTCGGTCCCGACATCCCGCCGCCCTGGGCGACGCCGCGGCCGCGCGTCAGAACCGCCCCGGACGGTGCGTCAGTGCGACCGCAGGGCCGCTAGCCAATGGGAAAGCTCGGCGCCTCGCGCGTCACGCAAAGGCGGCCGGTCGGCGCTGGGGTAAAGCTTGTGGTTAGCGCGCAGGACGCGGGGCGGGCGGGAGCGGTGAGGCGGCCCTGAGGACAGCGCGACGGGGCGGGCAGCTCCGCGCCCCCTGGGTCTTTTACCCAAGCACGTTCCCAAAGGGAAGCTGTCCTCAGCCCCCCCAGGCTCCCTGTGCCCTGGGCTGTCCCGGCCACAGCAGACCCCGGCGCAAGCGAGGGCCTTCGGGCACGAAGTGAAGTCGTCCTCAGGGGCCGCCATCGGCACCCAGCGCTTCTTTCCCCAGGCAGCTTATGACCTGTATGACTAGCCCTGCACCTCCGCCCGCGGGGAGCCCCCCGGGGCCGCTGGGGCCGCAGCAGCGAGGGGCTTTGCCGCTGAACCCCGAAACGCAGCCGCGCCACCGGCCACGCTTCGCCCCCCGGGCGGCCTGAACCACCCTTGGGTCACCTTCAAACCTCCGCTTCCCTGAAGGAACGAGCGCGATTCGCTTTGCCCTTCCTTGCCCTTGGCCCGGTGTCGGCCGTACCTCGCGCGTCCCGGGGAGATCTAATTGCTGCGTGGTTTTTTCACCCCCGGGAGAGATGTCACTGGGATGAAAATAACTTGCAATTAGAGCATTAATTCAAGCCGTGCTCCTGAGATACACCCGTTTTGAGAACTCTGTTATTAAGTGGGTATTTGGGGCACAGAAGAAAGGTTATGTCCTCATTTAACATCGCGGCCACCTCTTCTCCTTTCTGTGGGGTAACCCCCCTGCGCACCGCTGCGCTGGGCCCCGCGTTGTGCTCAAAGAAGGGGAATTGAACGTTAGCGTAATTAATGGACGTAACCACGCTTTAATGAAAAAGACGACGACTTTGAGTGCGAAGGTTCGCGCCTGCACTGTGGGTACGGGCCGGCCACAAGCAGCAGCCCCGGCCGGGCAGGACGCGCTCTCAAAGAACAGATTATTTTATTTCCACTTCGGCGTCTTCTTAGGGAACCCGGATTTTATAATTGCTGCGAGGGAGCGGCGCCGCGCTCGCCGTGCCCGCCTCGCGTGGCGTTTAACACCGCTGA